ATGAGTCAAAGTTATATGGTCTAGAATGAACTTTTATCATTGTAAGCAAAATCTGGACCACATCCATTAGTTCCCATAACATCCTTCCACAAGCATAACAACCACACTTAAAAGCATAACATAATTGATAATCCTCAAACCTCAGAGTAAATGCCTTCAGAACCAGATTCAATTATAATGCATGCTCCCTCCATGTCATATGGCTCCTTCAGAAGTTTTGATATCTCATACTTATCCAAGAACTTGCTCACATCTACAGATGCAGCATACGCCTGTTTAAAGAGCCCATAACTTATCGCATCCATCTCCGCCAGCTCGGTTATCAGCTTAGCTTCTTCAGCCTGCACAAATTAGCACATGTAATTAAATATAATATCGTGAATTATAGCCTTCACTTCACCAGCAAAAGTTTTTCAAGCAATAAGCAAATATTGAAGCAGTTCCTCTCCACAAATGAAGTGAGAACAATACAAAATGCTTGTGGATGGAGGCTAGGTGGGCAAAAATGATAGTTATCATAAAGGAAGCAAGTATCAAACCAAAATAGAATACCATATATTCGGCCCAATCTAACAAAACATGAGCATCCCAACAGCCGACTTTGTAATGTAAACTGGTGAAATAAATTGTCCTTGTGTAAAGGCCACCATTAACCTTAAGATGCTTAGCAAAGTACCTTAAATTTAAGGTCTTTGAGAGCATCAACCATCTTAGCACTGTCAGCTAACTTGACAAGGATTTCGTTTGACTTGGTAAGGTCATCCCACAAGCTATATTGATGTATTATTTCTTCCTGCTTGACGCATCTTGCTTCTTCGAGTTCCAATGCCATTGGGGCCAACATCTCAGCACGTAGAACAGAATCTTCAATCTTCTTTCTTAATGAAAACATTCCTAAAGCAAATCCAACCATCAACATCATTGAACAATCAGAAATACTATATTACAGCACAAACTTCAAAAATATGATTCATCATTGAAGAGCTATAGAGAACTAAGTAATCATGTGTATGATTGAATGAATAAAACTATAAGCCATCATCAGGTCATGTAGGCAAGGATCAAAATTTCGTTTCGAAACGGTCGAAACGTTTCCGTTTTTAAGGAGACCAAAACGAATCAGTCATGGAATCAAAATTCTAATACTTCGACGTGGTTCATAATGTTTTGAAGTGTTTTGTAATATTTCAATGTATCTGGACAATTATTTTAGAATGTTTCAAGATAATTTGGTATAATTTGACCAAAGTTTTGAAAAATAATTCTTAAATTTTTTATTTTTTTCAAAACATTTCCGAAACGGGTCAAAACATTTCCGAAACACGTTGAAACATTCCTGTTTCTTAGATGACCAAAACAATTTACCAAAACAAAATTTTGATCCTTGCATGTAGGCACCACGAAATTGATAACCAGTCTTCAGATTTCACATTTGCACCTGCAAAAAGAACTAAGAACAAGAACCAGAATATATTATCCTGACCATCTGAATTAGCATTAACAGATCAAAGCATAACCATCAAGGTTTTACCCTCAAATATTATTTATGACCAGGGTTCCATTCATTCACCTTCACACCACCCGAGAGAGAGAGAGAGAGAGAGAGGGGTATTGCCTAGCACAGTCCCGTTAAGTAGCACTAGATAGGTAAATTGGATGCAGACCTCCCCCATTAAACATATTTGCACAAAGTGGTTGCTCTCAGGCTTGAATCTTGTCCTCACAGCCTCCCACAAGATGATGAAGAATATTCAAATGATGAAATGGTGGAAGCGGTGGTCGTGAGAAGATTATACTTTTACAAACATGTCTTGGCATAATACAATGTCTAATATATTTTCCATTTGCTCACAGGCAGTAGGTAAAGATGGATAAATAGACATGGGTTTCACCTATTCATTCCTCGCCGTGGAATAGCATTGAAGCTGCTTAGCAAGGGCATTTATGGAACCTCACTACCACCAGAGCACTTAGGTCACAATAGTGTCATCACAAGAGGAAAATTTAATTCACTCAATGATAAGAGGAGAGAGACTATGAGTTAATGACACATATGTGAGGAGAATTTCTTTTTTAGAATGGTAGGTAACCTCAAAAGAGTATAGAAATGTAAATGTAACTGATTAAATGTAATAAATTTAAACAAGGGTCGTTACTCACTTTAATCACTTTTCACAGGCATATATACAAAATGCATCCCTACATGTAAAAAACTACAAAAAAAAATTAATTTTAGTGAAACTAAGAAACCTTTAACCCAAAGGGTAGGGTCATACAAACATCAAGCTCTGCATTTCGGCATTACAAGCTGCATGACCAGCTGTATGCTGTGTCAATTAGGTCTTTTCTCACTCCCATTCCACATTCCTTTAGACTTTTCCTTACTATTTTTACTTGATAACGCCTCTAACTTGAACCCCAGTAGCATCTCCATGGGAAGGCCAGTACCAGTATCCATTCATAAAATTGAGTGTCACTATCTATTTTTGCAATAACTATTAAGTTCCAATATCATAATACAATCTCAAGAAATATTTTATGAATTCAAACTCACAAAGGCAAAGAATTCAGGGTTTACGAAATGATATAATTCTTAGGCTAAAAACTCGCCTCAACTATGACTGCCATTGATTTGTGCAAAGAATGTCAAAAGTTGGGTCTGGTACCAGACTTTCATTAACGGGTATCAAAGTAGGTGTAGGCTTTTCAGGCCAACAATTTGACAAAGTGATTGCTACAAAATTATGATACCCTCATTAATCCAAACAAATGTGCATTCAAGTATTGAATTCACTTTGCATGAATATCCATTTGCAGGAATATATGGTCCTACATAACGACCTCCCAAACAAAAGGGGGAGCAATCTTCGTGAAGATTATTCAATAGGCCAAATAGAATAAAATACCAACAGCTAGAAATGTCGGTTCAGACAAATCTCCATTATTTGAAACTGAATCCCACATATTTGAACACCCAACTTCATTCCCCTAAGAAATAACCATGTTCCTGTTTAAACCTCAAAACACTCATTTTGGGCTAATTTTCTACAAACTTTGACACCCTGAGAGAGAGAGAGAGAACTGATTAAAGAAGGGTTCTATGATTTTACATACCCTGACGAACACAGTAGGCAAAATAAGCGCATACAAATACATATAGACATATTTGTATGTATATGCATAGATAGATAGATAGAGAGCGAGAGAGAGTATGGGGACAAACCCAGTTCTTTGTAGAACTTGTTCTCGTCATCTATGGTCTGAGAAGCTCGAATTGTTGAAGCTACTGGGTGATAATTTAACCTGCATCTTCTTGAAGCTTTCCATTTTGTGCTAAATGGATTAGGTGAACTAGCAGCCGCCATTTTTGCCCTATGTGAAAGAGTATACCTTATAGTCTGTTATTAAACAACGGAAAGAATCGGTTTGTTAGTTAATCCTGCTCATTCCTCGCAAATGTTGTAGCCGTTGACACAGGGCTCCGGTGTCGGAACATTTTGGGTGGCAATCCTATGTGCACGTGCACCTTATTTGTTATTAGAGGATGATGAGCACGTGATTGGAGTTGTTCATCTGATAAAAATTTATTTTGAGTTAATCACAAATTACATCCCGAAAGATAATTTAAATCTCAATTTACACTCTTAAAGTTTAAAAATATCATTTTACACTCTAAAAAATATAAATTTATATCAATGTGCATCAGGAGTTAACTGCCATTCATTTTTCCGTTAAAAAGTTCGAATTAATTGTAAATTACACCTTCAAATTTAAATATTTTATATTTATGATCCGAAAAAAATTTCATTCATTAATACTCGTTAAATATCTCTCAATTTTGACGTATCATAATATTTTTGTGTCGTGTTATTTTATGTCATGTTATATTATTTTTATGTGGTATTCAAGTCAATAAAAATTATTTTTCACACAAAAAATATTTTTTTGTCGAGTTAATTGCATTGTGTCGTATATTTCACATTTATAAAAAATACTTATTATTTGCCTACAATACTCAAATAGATATTTTTTGTTTAAAATTAGACACGACATGACACAATTAAGAGTTATTTAAAGAGCATTAATAAATGTAATTTTTTATTATCATAAATGTAAAATATTTAAACTTTAAGAGTGTAATTTATAATTAGTCTAAATTTTTTTAACGGCAAAATAGACAACGATCAGCACCAAGTTTACATTAATATAAATTTATGTCTTTTAGAGTACAAATTAATATTTTTAAACTTAGAAGGTGTAATTTGATATTCGAGTGATCTTTTGATGTACAATTGAGATTAACCCATTTATTTTTATTTTTTTACTCTAAATAGTATTTAAGTATAAGCTCCAAGCACTTTTTTTTAAAAAAAATTCATTTCAAAATTCATTTTATCTTTATTTAAATAAATAAAAAAAATTAATAATATTTATATAAAATGTACATTTCAATATTCAAATAAATTCAAATCTTTTATTTTTGATATTTCAAAATTCAAATGAACACAAAATTAAATACGCACTTACAACAATAAAGACAAAGAATATGCATACACATATGCCATTTGAACAAAATTCAATATCACTATCGTGAGACCGTGAAAATACCTCAATGTCGTTGTCCCAAGACAACAACAAACATTAATTTCATTACCTTAAAAAAATCATTCATAGTTTTGATGGATTCAAGAACAAATGCTGATGGTTTGGTGCGGCTCATGTTGATGATCCATGTTGGCAATGTTTGTTGGTTTTACTGATAGTGAACCTATTCCATGGTGAATTGAAAGAAGAGAGATGAGAAAGAATAACTGAAAGATAGGATTGCAAAAAATAGGTGCAATTTTTTTCATAAGATTCATCACCATTGTAGCAAATATCAGCCAGTTTATCGATCTCTAGACAGTTCTCTAATGAATTCTCCTTCAACATGTATACATATTTTCCTAATATTGACAGGATTTAATCCATACCACCCAAGCTTGAATTCAGATGTGCACTTAAAGAAACTCTGCAAACTGGGGAGCCTCCAGGTCAAGTTCTTGTCTCATGACACAGGTCATGAACCAGTCACTACTGAAAGTCCATATTCCCTTCTTTACAGCTGAGAGTGCTTCCTCCATGTCCTCTTCACACGCCACAAAGATGGTTTTCGATGTTTCATGCACTTTGTCCAGTCCACAAATAACCTGAATTTGCGAAACACAAACTTAGTACTGCTAACTAGCCATATTGCAACAGAGGATTAGCTTATGAATTAAAAAGCTAGAACATAGGATTAGAACGATTATTACGAGCCAATTTTAGAGGAAAGATTCTACTTGCAAAAAACCATCAGTTGGCTTTCCTTAGTTTAGTGACCAAAAACAATCTTGGTACCTTTTTAATTACTTTCTTCACATAAATGTATTTAACACTGCATAAGAAGAATGTAAAGTAGCTACACAAGGCCATTCCGGGCTACCTTTTGCATTTCTATAGCAGGCAGAATTGATAATCGGATCTCATTAGGACTCAACTTACATTTCCACCAGCAGACCTGGCAATGGCTGATAGAGTACTGACTGGGGGGTGGACGTGAGCAGCAAGACATATGTCATAACCTTTAAACAGTGCTTGACGATGATAAAATGTTTTACGAATAACATCTTTTAGTTCTGTCCTGTACTTCAACTCATATTCTTTATCTTCCAAAATATAAGGTGCTTCAGCTGTAAAAGAATATAAGAAACCAAAAAAAATTACAGATGAAGAATTTTAGGTAAACATGACATAATATCAGATTCTTAGGCTTTCGGACTCACCCACAAATCTGCGTTTCCGGAAGCTTTCTTTTAACCACTTGGGTGAGATTATCCAAGCTCTGCATAAGAGGTAGACTTAAAGAGATAAGTAACAGAAGCCAAATGCATGCACCATTGGATCATGCAGATTAGAAAGTAAACAGAGATACAGTAACAGACCAGATAGTAAGATGTTTGTACCTGAAACTTACATAACCAATCATGTGGAGATCTTGTTTAAATATCATGTGTTGTCTCCAATTCTGTATCTAAAGTTAATACTCATCCATCCCAACATATATAAAACATTGTCATGTTTACAATTAAGAATCTAAAACTGACTTCGAAATCTGATTTGATTTCCGAGAAAATAATTAGAGCTGGCCAAACCATCGCCCAGCTCAAGCACCACTCTGTTTGCTTTAGGCTAATATTGCTGAGTCAGATTAACAAAAAGGGATAATAGGTATTACAGTGTAGCAGCCTAGCAGGCATCAAATCAGATTGACATCACCAGCTATAACACTTCATAATACTGATTAATTTTCTTTTTCCCAAAAATAGATGATTTGGTACTAATGAACATGTAATCAAAGGCTCAGAATGCCCACTAAACATTTTAGTAAGAAACCTGTACTGAGTGGAAAGTGGGGAAATACTGACCCAGAACAGAGAGCAGTGCAGAAATTCAAAGTAATTCTGACTTTCCCGGTGACTACATGTGTGCTTAGACTTCCATCACAAGTGACAGCCCCACCTAGATCTTCAATTATCTACATCAACAGCACTACTGGTCAATAAACCTTAATTTTTGAAGGCAAAGAAGAATATAATAATTACTATATGATAAATACATTTTCGCCACAAGGTGAAAATAGGACAGGGAAACCACCAAAATTAGTATATAAAAACCATAAACAAAACTGACAGATAAACAGGTAATCTAAAACCACATTCTGTTTGAGTGCATAATGTGTCATGCTATTAATCTTAAAGCAGATTCCCAGTTTATAAACATCACATCAAAAGTAACATGCTATTTACATCAAACAACGGATTGTTTCCTCATTCATTCATGAGGATCAATAGGTTAAAGTGAAGCATGAGTGACATAAGGTTTACATCAGTGGACAGATGACTTCCATTATGGTGCCATCTGATGGCTGACCTGCCTGGAATGGCACATACACATTCGATTTAATAATATGGAATGAGAATGTAAGAATTCAACATATGAAGGCTAAATTGAAAGAGACAGCATGTCTATATGGTATAAAATTGAGGAACACTCAATTGAACTGATCTACCACCCATAAACACGAGCTGAGATGAAGTTGTTTTCTTCCTATAACCATAAGCAAACCTCTGCTTAAGTGGCATTTGCTCCAGCACATACAGCCAAGTCAATTTGTGGGGCCAGGAATCGGCAAGTTTCAAATGTGATACAAGAGATGCTAATAATAGAAAGACTTGTATAGCTTATACGCTTCTGCTTTTTGTTCCCTTCACTATTCCTTGGACTGCACTTCTATCCTGGCAAACCTACCTAAAAACTACTATTTTCAATGCTAAAAGTTCGCATTCAAAAAGCTGAACATCCCCTTCCACACAATTCAACCCATGCCCCAAAATCATCCCCAGGACCTTTTCTTCCGCTCTCCACCCCAAGTTTTGGCAAAAAGCTTGAAGAAGAGTCCCATGACACTTGCCCTACATCATTCAGTCACCAAGCTTCCACATTTATTCAAAGAAGAAATCAAAATGTAAATGTGTTTCCAGTAATCTCGAAAATGATATATCCAAACAAAACAAAAATTTATGAGCCAGGATTTAGAGAAGCAAAACAGTCTACTATTCATTGAGAGTGATGTATTATGTCAAACCATTAACCCCAGACCCAGGGACATCAGTTCATGGTCTAAATTGAAAAAATAAAGTACAAAACTGAGCATACCTTCGTGAGATTTGAGAGATATATTATGTTATATTATGTCAAACCATTAACCCCAGACCCAGGGACATCAGTCCATGATCTAAATTGAAAAAAGAAAGTACAAAACTGAGCATACCTTGGTGAGATTTGATTTTTTAGCATTATCAGCAATATTCATCAGCATAACTCTATAGTAATCTTTGTGTAACAGAAGTTCCGTCCTGGCATGATCTTCTGACGTGATATCAACAGCTTTATGTTTTTCGGCATTCTTTTCCAAATAAGTAATCGATAAGGGATCTCTAGGAGTAATGTCCATCAAAGATTTGTTTCTGGCTAAGAAGCTTCCATCAAAACTACAGTCATTTCTTCCATCACTCACTGAAAGAGAATTCCTCTTGTCTAATTGGCAATCAATCAGATGACATCCCTTAACTTTTTTCGACTTCAACGAAGTATAAGAGGCTTCCCAAACCCTCTTCTTTGTACCAAGTGCAGAAGAAGAACACTGCTTTACGTCATCTTCAGCTCCAGCTATGCTTAATTCTAAGTTGTTAGCCCAATTGCTGCAACCGCAACCCTCTAAAGGAACCAGTACTTGGCAACCTAGAAGTGAAACCAACCTTGACATGAAGCCATTGGAAGCAGCCAAACTTGGAATAATTGCACCATAGCAACACAATTGGATTTTACTAAAGACAAATTTCATGAAAATGCTTGTACCACATTGGAAAAGCATCTAGCCAGTTTACATATGAAACGGGTTCATTATAAGAGATTGACAGGATCAATTGAGGGGAATGCAGTCATTTCAATCTTTAAGCATCACTTCATTAGTTTAGAGACTTGTTTTGCATGATAATTCCTTTTCAAAGATGGAGCCACACGCCGCAAGACTAGGGTTGCAACTTGGGTGGAGCACCAGAACCCAACTTAAAAAATTCAATGCTTGGGCAAAAATTCTTAAGACTTGAATTGGGCAAACACAAAAATAATAACCCAATTTAAATTCGGGTTGTGGTCACCGGTTTCAGCCCATCTCGAATTCAATAATAATGTTCAACTTGACGTGCATTTTTGAGTTTGACTCAATCTAAGCAGGAAAAATATGTCTCATATATGAGAAAAGGTAAGGGATATTCATTTTTGGGGCTCTCAGCTCTGTCACTGACTCTAACCTTCAATCCTTTGTCTCTCTCATTTTTCTTATCTCAATCTCTCCGCTCTCACAGGCTCTCTCCCCTCAGATTCTCAGTCCCTGTCATCTCAGATTCTCAACACTTGAGCCCTCTTTCTTCAGTCCACACTTGATTGAGATTGTGAATACATATAGAAAATATTCTCAAATGGTCTTCCTTTGACTGAGTTTGACAGATAAATGGATGTTGAGAGTATAAAGCCGGGGGAGCAGGTAAACTTTGGTTTCTATGTTGTTAATACCTTTTATGTATCATACTGATCATGTGAAAGCTATCTTTCAATTTCTCATCTTTCATCGAGCTGGATAATTGAGAAGACAATCTTAATCGTGTACCTTGGTGAAACTGTAAGAAGAACAAAATTCAAGATGGCTAAAGCAGGTGATTTATTTGGAGCACTTCAGCAAATAGTTGTGTGAATGGCGTGAAACTCACTCTAGACTTTGATAAGGAAATTGGATAGCAGAAATGGGAACTTAAAACTGATCCCATCATATTTTTTGACTTGTATTTTTGGCAATTTCTAGGACAAATGCAGAACAGGTTTTACCCCCCTTTTTTCTTTAGAAATTAGGTTCAACCCGACTTTAATCCAAAATTCAACCAGAGAGTTTAAAAATAAAATCATAGGCAATACTAGAATTGAGTCTTTTATTAATTGAGTTAACCCTAGTTGACCCCTCAAACCGTCCAACCTATTGAGTTGCACCCCTACTAAAGACAAGGGAAACACAATTAATAGCCTTCCTTGCAGTTTATATTCAAATAACCAATTAGTATTGATAAACAACCATCTCCTCTGAAAACTTAAGTTGCTAGAGATGGTGTAACTTAAGTTATAATTCAACACGCCCCCTCACATGCAATTTAGGTTTTGAGCCTAACATGTGGAAATCTTTTAATAATTAGGATAACGGTGAAATTCGAATACAAAACTTCCTCCTCCGATACCATGTTAAACAATCATCTATGCTAAAAGCTTGAGCTATTAGAGATGGTCAATAAGTTTAATGCTTAATCTCATGAAACAGCTGGAAACTAATGCAGAAAGTGGAGCATATAGACATAGAAATTACTAGATTTTGCCGGCCATCCGTTAGAAGTCTACCTTTCGCCAATTCTTCAGATTGAGAATTCTCAGATATGGCAGTCATGTGCGCTGCAGTGGGATCATGGCTCTCCGCTACACACCCTAGCCCTTGTTTTTGAAGGTTAGCAGATGTCGAATACTTTTCATTAGGCTTGACTGGAAAAGATAGATTTAGAGGCTCTGCAGGATAAGCTGAAGTTTCCTTGTTAAGATGAGAAACCATGAGAGTCGATCCACCAGGAAAGCATAATGCCCTGCGAACATCGGCCTTGATAGGCAGCCTGCGAGCTCTGCCCTTGGTGTCTACCTCACCGATTGACACAAAACCCTGCATTTTTAGTCCCATTTGGGAAAAGTAATATCAAAATGATAAATCAAAACCACTCACGGGTACAAAGGTCATGGCATAAAGTAAATGAAGCATGTTAAGTTAAATCGACAACTAGTCATAATTAGGTTCTTCTACAATGCATGACAAGCACCATTTGAGACAGCCAAAATGTAAAAGTAAAAACAAAGAAAAATAGAAAAGAGGCAAACCAACGCCATAATAAGATTCACCTGTTTAAGCCAAAATCCTTCAGATTCCTTATCTCCCCAACAAAATATAGTGCGAACTCCAACACTCTGCAATCTCCTTCTCAATTCCATGTACAATAGGTGGCCAATTCCCTGCAAGGTATCAATCAGTGCCAAATGACATCAAGGGAGAAACTCTCATAGGAGCAAATGATATTATGTAATAAGATATAGTAAACAAAAAAAAAGCAATGGAATGAACAGCAAAATCAACTTAACATAAGCTGGAAATTACTTTCTCTTGAAACATAAGTGGAAACAAATCAAAATTTGGCTGAAATTAAACGAACACAAATCAACTTCAACAAAAACTGACTTTGATATCGAGTCAAGGGCGCCCTCTCAGAACGGTGGAGCAAGACTAACAACAAAAATCAACCGGTGACTCTAAAAGGCATGTTATTCACTGCTACTTAGACAATGTCCTCATCTGACCTGTTTTACATTTATGACTAGAGTATCCACTGTAATCTGCTCTCTATGATTAAAAAAAATTGTGCACTTCGACAAATCAGTGCTAATATTAAAAACCGGATACCAAGTATCTTGAATCATTAAATACAAACCAAATCATCAACATAACAACAGCACAACATCAAAGGACATAGTCCACAAATAAAGCCCCTTGAAAATATTTTGGATAGAATGAGGACAAGAGCATGCGCATAACCTTGTGTTGGGATACTGAACTAACAGCAGCAAGAGGAACCTCAGCAATCTGTGTATCAGCGGGGATTATTTGATAAGTAATTGCTGAGATGACCTGTGAAAGGGATGAGAAAAGGACTAAAAAATAAGAATGTTGATCCCAACAACATTTGGTCCTTTATCAAAACCGTAATAGATATATAAGTAACAAAAATGGAGCAATTGCAGGAAAGACCTATACTACTGTCTTGATCTGCATTTGACGAGCTAACTCAGAGAAACAAACATATGTAAATTTCCAATCATGCCTCTACTTACACCCATAGAGAACCTTTTCACTTAGACAATAGTGCTTTCTACATTTTCATTTGTGCTCACTAATCCAAGAAATCTTTAATTCCTATACAAAGAACATATATTTAGGGATGTTATAAAAAGAGGAAAGAGAAAAAGTGGATTTCTACAACAAAGCACCAGACATATAATCATTCATGATAAAACAGAAAAAAACTTAGAGTTCAAATTTACTTTGGAAATCTAAGAAATATATAAAACATATAGTCAAGAGTAGTTTGTGGATGATAACACCTGATATCCTCACCACCACTAAGGGAATCGGAAATTCCAATTCCTAGTGTGTCTGATTATATACACAAAGAAATCATTCCAAAAGTCTAGCATTTTGTTTTTAGAGAAGAGAAGAAAGAGACAGGTGAGCCTTATCCTTCCCTTTCTTTCCACTCATTTGTAATCAAACTTGAAAGCTTCCTTTTCTCTTCTTTTTGTTTTCACTCATCTCAAATGGTGTGTAAATGTACATAAAGAAGTGTCAATTGAAAACTCCAGAGTGCGTAAAAACCTTTTAATTTACAATCTTAAAATACACGGCTACAAAAAAGGGCATGGTCTAAAGACATGAGTATCCGTTTGAGGCCATGCACACCATTGAAGCTAGTCATCAGCATCACAAAAATTTCAATGCAGAGGTTTATCGATTGACATGCATTAGTGATACTCATTACCATTGTTTCTATCTCTTCATCTTTTTGGGGGGGACCGTGGTAAGTGACAACCTTTTTCTCCACTAAGTGTATAGCTTGGATGAAGCAGAATAGACAATATATATGAAATTGGTAGGAATTTTTTCTTAAGTAACCTACATACAATAGTGACAGGTACACAGCTTATGCAAAAGTAAGCCTACCTCCCCAGGACCTTCCTCAGATTTGGATCTCAAAAGTAATGTGCAGTACTTCCTGCAGAGAGAAGAAACAAGAAACTTTCTAATGACCAGAAGTGTTTTAACTTGCAAATTATCAACATGGATAGCCGAATAATACATCCACTTTCTGCAGATTTTAGAGAACAAGTGAGCCATGGCAGCACTTGTACAAGTAGAGAGGAGGAACAATAATTCTAAAGAAACAAGTTTAGTGATCATTTAAAACACCTTTACCCATTAGATACACATCTTTCAAGGAACATTGATTCCTTTCCAGTATTCGCGGCATAATTCATTGCGGGTAGTTCTTTCCTGTACATTTTCAATATTTCCTGCAATGCCATAAGCATAGAATAGAATGTTTTAGCAAAATAAGCCCTCTAAAACCAAGTGAAATGAATCAAAAAAAAGCCCAAAAATGGAAAATAGTACAAGAGAAATGAACAAAAGAGCACTGTAATACTGTATGACGAAGATAAAGAACCAATTATTCCTCGACTTCATTTTTGAAAAAAGGCAAATGACTACCAACAGAACTCACACACCCTATGACTTCACCAATAAAAAATCATACCAACATGTGTGAACACACACTTAGACAATAGACACATTAAAAAAATACAAAGGGAATGATTTCTTTCTGAACTACATACAGAGTCATGCACACAATCATACAAATCATAAGAATATGCAGCATATTACTCTCCTCAACTACGTGCTGAGTACAATACACTAAACAGGCAATATCTCTGAAAAGAAGTGTCAATCTTAGTAGCAAATCACACGTGGAAAAGTGTAATCTAGTCTTAGTACAAGTAATGAAAATATGCAGCCACTCAATCATCTCTAACTGAGTATCCAGTATGTACTCCACCGGTGCAGTGCTGTTGTGAGTGACACAACCTAATCTGCAGATTTCTGAAGCAAACTTCGCATATATTTTGTTGGCATATCTCAAACCCAAGCAAGTCTCATCTAAATTAGCTAACTGTGAGACATTTTGACGAGATAGATTGGAATTTCCGCTATACCAAAGGTAGACATAAATTGATCGCAAGTGATGGGAATCTATCAATTTATTTCAAAATGCAGCATTCACCCATATTCAGTAACAACTCTTCTAAGGTCCAGAACAAACAAAAGCACACACACACAAACACACTGTATATAAATATGGGATGGGAGGGAGGGACAGAGAGATAGATTTACCTTAAGCAGAGACTTGGTTTGTTCATCCTCATCTTTGGGACTAACGAGCACAAAACAGCAATCACCTAATTAAAAGAACTCAGATTTCATCAATTCTCACACTCAAATCAAAATTGAAATAAACAAGCAAATAACATTAAAAACTCAGCACCACTTTTCTCAAACTCGTAATGCCGAAGATCAGTACACTCCACTTTCTGCTTGTTCTCCTCCACTGCCACAAACAATAACCCATTTTTTTAATAAAAATTCAAAAAAAAAAGCAGCAACAGCAGCAATACGAAATCTAATAACACAAATAATGCTTAGGGTTTGAAAATGTATCCAGTCCACCAATAAAATACATGAATATCCATCAATCTATATGTGTGTGTGTGTGTGTATTTTCAGTATGGGTGTGCGAGTATGATTAATACCTGAGATTTTGATTTTGGTGGTTTTGGAAAGAGTAATTTGGAGGCTGTTTTGTTCAGATTGATATGTGAAGTTCTTCGCTTCGACAACGACTTGGCAATTTCCTGAAAATATAATAGTAAGAAATTTAAGGTTTGTGAAATCGATTGCTAGAGTTTTCTGAGAAAAAAAGGGCTTTCTTTACCGATTGGGATTGGTGAGGGAGGCGAAGAGGTCTTCTTTGGCGCCATAGCTTGGACGGTGCTCTGGTTTTAGCTTTGAAAATGAATGCGAGGGAGAGCAGAGCTTGTTATTATATACGGGCGGGAAAAGGGTGTAGTTGTAAATTTGGCTGGGAGTGTAATGGTAGTTTGGCCACTTCAATCCTATTTGTTGTTTAAATCTATCCCAAAACTTATTTCAAACTTTTCACCATTCCAATCAATTATGGATAAAAAAAAAATAGGTTAAATCAACTTTAAAATATTGATTAAATTGACTCTCAAATTTTATTTTCTCCCTCACAAAATTCCCATTTATGACATATCAATATTTTTAAGTTGATTTGAACCGTAAAAATTTTACAATAATATAATGTGTCGAATTTAACCTCTTTTTATTTAAAATTGATCTAGACCGCAATATTCTTGAAATAAAATCTCTTATATTTTATTATATATATTTTAATTATTTTGTGTGTGAACATCACACTCATCTCTTTCCAATTCACACAAGTGAAGGCAAGGATAGGAGTGCAAAAGTGATTTTTTTTTTTAAATCTTAAAGTGAAAACATCATACTTTATACACAAATATATATATATTTTTACACTAATGCCCTGCATATTTTGTATGTTGCTCCCGTGCGCTAAAAACAGATGAAATTTTAAATGGCCATTTGTTAATAGACCAAATTACAACAAATTTGCATGATTTAGAGTGCAATGTGAAAAAACCAAATTTTTAAAGTGTAAATTGAAAATTTTAGTATCTTTTAGAGTGCAAAATGAGACTTGTTATTTTAAGTATTACATTGAAACAATTGGTACAAGTTAAAAGCTATGAATAGTCTGATTTTGATGAAAATGGAAAAAAAAATTAAAATAAACATAAATTGATCCAAACAAGATTTCAATCTAGTCAATTAACGTATCTGCCTTTGTTTTCAGGCACCAAATTAGAGAGACCGAAGTTTCTGAAATAGCCAACTAATGACAGAGAATGATGACTATTTTCAATGGATTTTTTCCATAATTTTTTAGTTTCTCTGGCCAACCGATGACTGAGACTGAAGACTATTTTCAATGGATTTCTTCCATAATTTTTGGTACTTACAATTTACAAAGGTGCATTTCTTCAATGTCTGATCTCCTCCATCTTCTCTCTTATATCTAAAAAAAACAAAACAGTACTCTTTCCCCCATCTCCAAGATGGAGACTCTGGGGCAGGTTTTCCAACCTCAAACTAGTGCATCTCATAAAAATTTCTCGTTAGTCAACCACATGGTAAGAGAAAATGTTGCAAATACCTAAGAGCATCATCCACACGCACATATCTCCAACTGACCATACTCAACACCCCAACACTTACCTTCTCCACCACCATCTTCTCCCCAGTCGCACGTAACCACAACCTTAAATCCGCCACCAACCCACTTGCAGCACCACCACCAGAACAACACCCCGGCGACGGAAGCTCCTCGGAGAACCACCCTTCAGTTCCTGGAACACAGGTTCCTCTGCCTTCACAATCCATCATGGAAAAAGCCCCTTGAAACCCTTTCAACACCACATTCCATGACAGCCTCAAATTACTTAACCCATCAAACACCAACAAACTCTCCTTTTTAACATCGATATGGAACCGAAAAACCCCGCTTGGATCGATATCGAGTTCGCCTCCAAATTTCAAGACAGCGAAAATGGGTGTATTGCCGGCGTTGCGTACGTCGACGGCGAACACGAGGTTGTCGAGGGAAAGGCGGGGTTTCGGGGCCTTCCGAAGCCTGCGCTTCACCGACATGCACCCGAGAGCGTATATCCGGCGGTAGGACACGGCGGGGTTGGCTGCTCGGAGGTTGGATAGAGAAGGGTAATGGGTGGAACAAATGCGTTGCCAAAGGTGGTCTGAGGACATAGAAACGGACCATGACTTGCAGACACAAGAAGCCATCGCTAGGGTTTTAGGGTCAAGATGGTTGGATACAAGACCAAGGACCAGCCATGGAGGAGAGCATTTGGAGGGTGATTTAGACATTTTCTCTTGTTTCTTGTTCAATTTTTTGATTAAGAATTGTGTGGTTTGTGGCGGTTTCGTGCAGTTATATGCATGGATATGAAGTGCCACGTGTAATGAAAATAGTGCACACGTGATCTTCATAGGACGATGAATCGTTGACCACATGTCAACGTTGGTACAATTTAGCAGGAGCGTGACAAGCTGTGGTGGATCGAGTGTTTCTCTTGAGAATGCGCGCGAGTGTCACGCTTTGGTGTGTTTTGGGCCTAAGGTTGATGGGAGGCGAGGAGCGGTGAATTACGTTCTGATAACATTAGTCTTGATTGAAAATGACTATACAATCATTTTGTGTGGCGTAATTGATTAATAGTAAAAAAATAAATAGAACAAAAGAACCTTACTAATTCTAGAGGATAGTTTTGAAAGTAAAAATTATTGGTAGTTATACAATTTAATTTAATAGAATTCACTGATCTTATATGATTATTTATTATTAGTTTTTTATACCATCTGACAATAATGACGTGGTATAATCATTATATTGAATATTTTAATATTTGGGGGTACCAATGTTATGCTTCTTTAATGCTTTGTTTAGTATAATGAAAAAAATAGAAAGTTGAAATGATGAAAAATTACAATGATAGATAATATATCATATTTAATAAAGAAGAAAAAGAATAAGAATGATAAAATTGATGAATTAGTCTTCTTTTCAACTTATTAAAATTTATCCCTCTAATATTAAGACAAAAAGTAAATAAAAAATTAATTATGTGTTGTTAAAATGTATGTTATTTATTTTTATATCCTATTTATTTATTACACATTATATACATATTAATTATATCTATATAATAAAATAGTTTACAATTCAAATCTCAAAAGATAAATAAAATAATTTTTATTATTCGCGGTTGAAATCGCTTTAAATTTTATTTTAAAGTTAATCTAACGGCTAATATTAACATTCTAAATTTAATAGGAAAAATAGGCTCATAAGGATGTGTTTGAAGTGACTTTTTAAAAATACTTTTACAAATTATTTCTCATAAATATTTTTAAAACGATAGTGTTTGAAAGCGTACCACCACCGCCACTTTCGCCGCCACTGCCATTCTCGTTGCCATCAACGTCACCGCCACCGTTGTCGCCCCCTCACCACCACCACTGTCGCCACCACCATCACCGTCTTTACTACCACTATCGCTGCCGCCACCATTGTCGTTGCCGCCACCATCGCCGCTGTCTTCGCTACTTTTACTACCATCATCGCTGCCGCTACCATCATTGTCGTCGCCATCACCACCATTGCTACCACCACCACCATCATCGCTGCCATCACCACCACCACCACCGTCGCCGTCTTCGCCGCCTTTACTACCACCACTGCTATCACGCCCATCGATGTTGTTGCCACCACCATCGTCGCTGCCGTCACCACCACCACCACGGTCATTGCCACCCACCATAACTATCACCGTCTTCTACCATCACCACTACCGCTCACCACCTCTCACCCTCACTACAAAATCGATTCTTAAATTTTTTTATTTTTTTTTTTATGTTTGTGATTTGATTTTGGATATGAATACAAATATATTTATTATTTACTATTTTTTATTATTTTATACCTTCAGACACAGGAAATAAACTAGTATAAGAATACATTACATGACTACATCGTATGGGTTAAAACTTAAAAGGAAACGATTATTAATAGTGTTGAACTTTTGTTATCTATATTTTGGTGTTGAATAATTTTGTGGTCATCTAAGAGCATCTCTAACAATAGAAACTAGTTTAGTTATTCAAAAAGTATTTTTTTTTATTTTAGTTACTCATTTTTTTAATATATACTCCAATAGATATTCTATATTTTTAACAATTTTTTTAAATATTATTTCTCATTCATTTTGTATTATTTTTATTTGGAAATAGTAAAAAGTGGAAAGAGAGAGAATGAAGAAAAAGAAAGTAGGAGGGATAAAATATTATAAAGAATTTATACATATTAATACTCTAAATATAGATTATCATTGTAACAAAATGTTATTTTGCATGCTCTGAAGATATTCCATTGGAGTAAAATTTTATGACAAAATAACTAAATTTTAAAATTTTTGTGTTCTTTCCCTTAGAGATGATCTAAATGAAAGAGGTAATGAATAAGTAATTCAGATTCTAAAATCCCAAGTTTACCTATTAAGCTCGGAGGATCTTCTACTCTTATTTAAATTTTAGCACAAATTTAATTTTGAATAAAAATAAGCTTTAATCTTCTTCTCAAATTCATAACAAATTTTTTTTCTAAAATTGGATGAGGTTTAAATCTTTATTCAAATATGTAATGGTTAAATTTCTCCATATTTTAAAAATTATATTTTATTTTCTTTTATATTTAAGTTTTTTCTCCTTGAAAGTTTAGTTTAATGCTTCATATCAAATATATTTTTTTATTCCAATATTGACCTAAAATTAAGTAAAAAATTGAGTCAATATTATAGATGGTAAGACTGTACTGGTACATATTTTTGTAAACTTTTAAGAGCAGTGTTACTCAAGCTTATAAAAATTGATATTATTTGTTGATTCAATCAATTACTATCAGTGATTTAATTGAGTTATGATATTTATCGGAACTATCAATAGATATTTGATTCAATGATACTTATTGTCTTGTAAAGATTTTGCCTTCTTAAGATCAATGGTTCAAGTCCCCTCCCCCCTCCCAAAAAAATAAAAGATATTTATCGAAAGTCACTACTTATTCAATAAAGGTAATCGATGAATTACGTAAATAGTGTTCATTTTTGGAATCCAAATAATATATATATTTTTTTATTAGTATCACATATTGGTGAAAGATTTATTTTATAAGGGTTAATTATAAATTGTATATCAATTTTTTTTTGAATTTTAATTTATACCTTCAAACATAAAAAATCTCAATTTATTCTGCTAAAGATATTAAATTGTATCAATTTTGCAACTGAAAACTAACAACCGCATTTTGCCAATGACGTTTAAAACTAGTTGGGTAAGTTACACCTATACTCCCTTAAATTTGCACATAATTATTTGAACTCTCTCACATTTAACATACTAACAATATACGACGTGCGTTACAAGTAAATAATTTTAAATAATATTTTTTTATAAAAAATATGAATTATATATGTAATTAAATTAAATAATAAATTAGGTGATGAATAATTAATTTATATTTTAATTATTGTTAAATTTAATTATTACTTTATTTTATGAGTCTTTGAATACATAAATTTTTATTTATTTAGGTATTTCTCCGACCCCTTTAGGTATTTGCACATTTAATTATATTACAGAATTTTTAATTTTTATTTTGTTAAATATAGATTGATTAGATTGCTTATAATATTATTATGTTATTGCATACTAAAAAATAAAATATAACATATATTTAACCGTAAAATTTAATCAAATAACTATATGTAATTTACCATGCATAAAACTTTACTTTTTCATATAAATATAGAAAATTGTATTCATTGTACCACTACTAAATAAGTTTAAAATAATTTAAAAGTTTTTATAAAATAGTCAAAAACAAGTGAAAAGTTAAATATAAGTAAAAAAATAAAAATTAGATGAAAATATATTGGTAGGTATAGTTGACTTTATTTTAATAATTAGGGATAAAATAAGAATTTAAAAATTTTTCACATATGTTGAAATTTATAAGTAGTAAAGATTACTCATACATCTCCCTGAAGTTTGTGCACGTGTAATATATAACATGTTGTTGATATATGTTAATATAACTAATAAAAAATATGATTTTATTATAATAAAAAATATAATTTCATATTATTATTTATTTTGTGGTCCTGTTATATTCTCAAGTTCAAAATCAAGTCTATCATTTGAATGTCCAATATAATGCATATATTTATATAATGTTATTTATATTTAATGCAATAAATCACTCGAATAGAATTATTTGGATGCTCAATTAAGAGAACATTTTTAGTCATATTTGAATTTTCAGGGATGTAAGTGTAATATTTTAAATGTGAAGGGTCTAGGTGATTAAGTGATAAACACGACAGAATTATGTGTAATTTATCAATTTAGTTTTAATCAGTAAACTGACGACTGTTAGTTTCAGGTGCGCATCGATCTAAATTTATATATTTATGGGGATAAATTAAAATTTATTATTTTTGAGGGTAAAAATTAAAATTCGAATAAAAGAGGTACAATTTACTATTAACTTTTTATAAAATTCTTCATAATAAAATGGCACACGGTTCAACAGAACCCCCAAAAGCACGCAGAAAATGGCAGTTCTACTATCAGCAGCAGCTATTCCTTCGTCTACTTCTAACTTCAATCTAAACCTGTCTAGCTGTAACACCATTGAAGCAAAGCCATCATCAACACTTCAGCTTTTCACAGGTAAGTCAACAACTTTTCCGCTCAATTTTCCTTCACTTTCTTGCACTTTCTTCAACTTCAGTCAAATCCACTTGCCCAAATAATTTTTGCAGGCCTGAATTATAAAAACCACAAATACAAGAAGAAATGTTCCTATGTTTCTTTATCAGTACGAGGCAGTCAATCAATAACGCAAACAATTCGCCAAAAAAATGGAAAAAGTACAAGAAAAAGTGATGGGAAAGTAATAGTGAGTGAAGGAAGAGACGATGATGAAAATTATGGGCGTATCTGCCCTGGTTGTGGAATTTTTATGCAAGATAAGGACCAAAATCTTCCTGGGTACTATCAAAAAAGAAAGGTGGAAGTGTTAGAGGGTGAAGAAGATGATAAGATTGATGGGTTCGATGAAGACGGTGAGGATTTTATGGATGACATTGAGGGTGAATTAGAAGAAAGTGATGGGGAAGAGGGGAATTTAAAAAATGAAGATGGAATTGATTGGGATTCAGAAGAATGGGAATCAGATTTGGAAGAAGATGATGATGAATTGAAGGAGCTAGATGGGTTTACACCGGCTGGTGTCGGTTATGGTAACATTACAGAGGAGTTGGTAAATAAAGGAAAGAAAACGAGGGTGTCAAAAGCAGATAGGAAAAGGATGGCCAGGGAGGCTCAGAGAGAGAAAGAAGAGGTTACAGTTTGTGCTCGGTGTCATTCACTGAGGAATTACGGGAAGGTGAAGAATCAAATGGTTGAAAATTTGATACCCGATTTTGATTTTGATCGGTTGATCTCAACCAGGTTAATGAAACCCACAGGGAATGCTGATGCTACAGTTGTGGTTATGGTTGTTGATTGTGTTGATTTTGATGGCTCATTTCCCAAACGGGCAGTGAAGTCTTTATTCAAGGCACTGGAAAGAAGCAAAGGTGAGTTCAAGCTTAGTAAGAAGTTGCCGAAGCTTGTTCTTGTGGCAACAAAGGTTGATCTTCTGCCGTCTCAAATTTCCCCTACAAGGTTAGATAGATGGGTTCGGCACCGTGCTAAGGCTAATGGGGCACCTAAGCTAAGTGGGGTTTACTTGGTTAGTGCCCGTAAGGATTTGGGTGTGAGGAATTTGCTGTCTTTTGTCAAGGAGTCTGCTGGACCTAGAGGAAATGTGTGGGTTATTGGGGCTCAAAATGCAGGTAAGTCTACATTAATAAATGCATTTGCTAAGAAAGAAGGGACGAAAGTCACAAAGCTTACAGAAGCTGCAGTCCCTGGGACAACACTTGGGATCTTGAGAATAGGAGGAATATTGTCTGCCAAAGCAAAGATGTATGACACTCCAGGGCTCCTACATCCATATTTAATGTCCATGAGATTGAATAGAGATGAACAGAAAATGATTGAGATACGGAAGGAGCTACAACCTCAAACTTATAGGATCAAGGCAAGTTGTTTGTACTGCAAATTTTATGTTGGAGCGTGTTACTTCCTTTATTTGTGCACTCCCTTTCTATCTTTCCACTAAATTCTATTGAAGACCATTGATGGAAGCTTCTGACTAAGAAAGTAAAATTTGTTGCTGTCAAATATGAGCATTAATAATATATTTGGAAACCAGATCTCCAACATTTTCATCGGATTTTTGAAGGATATGGGAACCTGAGTTTAACCATTTATGTTGAGTGTTAGTTTAAGTCTTTTGATGCGAGTTTTCATTTTCACCTAATTTGACACTTTTTTTTTTCATAATTGTTGAATTCGTAGTTTGTTGAATTAAGTTTAATATCCATACTTGGTTGTCAATCAGATATTGTCGATTCATCAATTAGCACTAGTGGGCAACCAATGGACCAAATGATCAATAATTTCTGAATTATTTCACATGCCCAGTTGCACCATGCACTTGGGTGAATTGTACTAGCTTGTGATTTGTTACAAATGTGAGGATCTTTCGAATTCATTATTTAATGACACAAGCATGGGTTCAGAATATATAAGATAGTCATAGTTAGAGTTTATATCATATACTGCCCTCTGAAACTTGAATAGTTTCTGCTGCTTTGAATTCTAGTGCCCTGTTAAACAGTTAAGCTAGACATGCATTTTTTTTGTGTGCTTATTTGACATGTGATGCAGTCTTTTTCTCTTCTTTATTTGATTATTTGGCTTGTTCATCATATATTTATTGCCAGTGTTGCCATATGTATATATGCAGTAGATATTGTAAATAGTTCCCGAGTTTGTGCTTCGGTGATCCCACAGTAAAGAAATGTGCCAGCTGGATCTAAGCCAGTATGTTGATTTGTGCAGGCAGGACAGGCCATTCATATTGGTGGCTTAGTGAGGCTAGACCTTAATCAGGCTTCTGTGGCAACAATCTATGTCACGATTTGTGTGTCATCTAATGTTTCTTTACATCTAGGGAAGCTAGAAAATGCTGATGAGACTTGGAGCAAGCACGCAGGAGTTAGGTTACAGGTAACACACTCTCTTACTAAGATTCAAGTATCTTTGTAACTCAAATAGCAATTTTCTGATGGTCTGTTTCAATAGTCATGGGAAGTAGCGTGTGGCGTTGCCGCATTGATTGGAATAATCTGTACTTGAATTGTTGATCAAGGCCTATATCCTTTTTGAAATTTCTAGAAATCAGTCCAGGCCATTCAATCAGTGGCTTATCTAATTGAATTAGTCGGTCAATTTAGGTTCATTCCTTTCAAACTGTCCTCAATGATTCCAACACTATTTTGACAAATTGAACTGTATAAAACCTGGGTTGAAAATAAGATTTCTGGGATTCATTTTATGATTATTTTTGTGGAATTTAAGTCAGGTTTATTAACCTGATTTATATTTTTTGAGACTTAGAGAATATATTACTGTCTTGTCTGGTAGTCTATACATAGGCCTCATATATATAATGGGATTGTTAGTTTTGGCTATTGGAATATTGATTATAAATTTGAATTCCCTCTCTCTCTCTCTTAATATCTGCTTCTTTGGTTGGCCATATTGGTTCCACATCATAAGACTGCCTCCCTTTGAAGCAAACTGCAGAGGCTAAGGGATGATATGGTGAAATAAGATACCTGAAGCTGACTTAGTCCAATTGCTGAAGAGAACCTTCTTTGTCATGTAGAATTTACTCCCTACGATATCCCTCTACAGTTGCCAAATTTAAAATTTGAAACTGCTTGAAAATATTCATTATTTTGTGAGCCTTGTAAGTTGTAATTATTTAATTCCCTATCGAATATTCATACGAATAAAGGAACTAATGCAATGCGTTATGATCAGCCAAGTCTTATTCATTGTGGTCTGCAATCCTAATCCGGTCACACTTTAAAGCTCTCCTTTGCTCCACAGGAGAGCATCTTACCTCGAGAATCAGGAACCATTGGTGTATGAAACAATTTGGGCCATAAAAAACTTAGTTCACCAATGTTGCACCCTGTTAGCACCTTTATTGTTTGTTGAAACAAAGCTATTACCTAGGCTGAGCCTATATCCACCCAAAGGCATTCTCCTCTACTTTGGCAAAATGTAACTTCAACCCTCTTGTTCCTTTCAAATACTATTACAGGGGTTTCGAAGTAAGACTATAATGAGCAGGTACCCCTTCACTTTCTGGAGAGAGAAAAGGTGAATGGAAGTAGTTTGTGTAATTGGACAAAGTACTTTGTGTTCCTAAAAAGCCTATGTTTGGTAGATAGCTCTTGCACGATAGAGGGAGTTTATTATCTCCGTTGTAATATTGTCTTGGTTTAAGTACATGAGTAGAAGGAAACTCATGCTGCAACTTTTAAATGCCCCCAAAGTCATATATCCCCTAACCATGACAACATTCAGGCCATTCTCTAGTGCGAATCTACAACATATAGACAACTTGCAAGAACCTCCGCTTAGCTATGTAAGCTGCTTATGAAAAGCTTAATAGAGGTTGAAGATGCCATCGTTAACCTGCAAGGGAAAGATAATGGTGATCCCTCTCTGGTGGTGACTCCTCAGGCGTAGACTTCTGATAGTGCACTGATGTTAGAAGGTTGCAAGCCCTCTTAGTTCCCTAGGCTTCATAGCCTAGTACTCTAGATGCTTCCTCTTGTTCAAGTCTTTCAACTTAGACTCTGATTGCTTCTGCATGACTTCAATAGATCAAGTTTTCATTTTCAATGTCCTTTCCAAGGCAATAATGACAGCAATTTTTCTCTCTTCTTTGCTTCACTTTACGTTCTTGTTCCATTAGGACACAGTTGCTGATAACTGCAATGTTGTTTAGGGTTAAAATAGCATCCTCTTTGTGACACTTACCTAGTATTTGTTGGGGTTGAAAATGTCACGTTCCTGAGAAAGTCTTCCCTGCATAGTTTTCCAAGTTTACTTTCCTTTTTTCACAAGAAACTTGAACTTTCATCAGAAGCCTGAAAGCTCATCTTTTTACACTCATGAAATAAGGCTTTGGCTCTTTTTTGTTTGCAGTCTTGTGGCAAAAGATCCACTATTGCCTTTCTGTTTTTTCCCTCTGTATCCTATTTGGATTCTTTTTTGTGCATTGAATGTTGACGGGTTTTTGTTACTGGGAACTTCGAACCAAGAAAATCACAATCTAGTTTCTGAAAGATTTGCGGATGTGTGTACTCAGGCGTGCACTTAACTTCACACCTGATATCCTGAAGAGTTTAATTCAAGCTAGGTATCTCAAGTATTGGTGCTCTATTTGTTGATCATTCCCTTCTCTATATGATGTTTTGAATTCCTGAAAATGCCACGGTTTACGTTCTATGGATCAAACATTTGGTTTATAATCACTTTGTAATAAGATATTGTTTCATAATGATGAAAAAGGGTGGTTTAGGGACTATTAAAAATCTGCAGGAAAAATCAAATTATCCTTTTAGTTATTCAGTTAGGGCTACAAATGAACCGAGAGCCAAGTTGTTCATCAGTAGCTTAGGCCCAGCTCTTTCATTGTGCAAGCATGATATGGAAATTTGGTGATATTGCATTTAATTCCTGTTGAACAGGATGAAAGACTCTCTCTGCACATAGTTCTGAATGCTCATTTGAATTGTTTGATTTTTATGACATTTATTCTCTTATTCTTCTTTCAGCCTCCCATTGGCGTGGATAGAATTTCTGAATTGGGCGAATGGGAAGAGATGGAAGTCAAAGTGTCCGGAACAAGCTGGGATGTGAACAGCATTGACATTGCAGTGGCTGGCCTAGGTTGGTTTTCTTTGGGGCTCAAAGGTGAAGCAAACTTGACTCTCTGGACATATGGTGGCATTGAAACTACTTTGCGAGAACCTTTGGTACTTGACCGGGCACCATTTCTTGAGAGACCTGGGTTTTGGCTACCAAAGGCCATATCAGATGCCATTGGAAACCAAAACAAGCTTGATTCTCAAACAAGAAAGAAGTTTGAAGAGGAGAGCTCAATATCCCTTTCAGAAGTGTCTGCTTAAGAATGAAAAAACAATGATCAAGTTGTCTCTCCTGTCGGCAACAAGATACATGCTTGAAGCTGGGAGAAACTAGAGGAAATTAATGGAAGATGGGTCGGCAAGGATCCATCTGCAGGAAAAAAAATGAGATTAATTTCTGCAGCCTATCGTTTGGACACACGAATGAAATTGTCTTTCCCAACAGCACTAAACTGTCTGAGTTGTAGTGTTTGCATGTATATAGTTGAATCAAACAAATTTCCCCGGAACCAAGTTGTTTTTTCCCTTCTAATATCGAAGGAACTAAGTGGAAAACTGTGAAGGCACTTGTTTTACCCCTGCAACGGCACATGGAATGGGAGATCCTGTAATGGAATGCAGGCCCTTCAAAACCTACAGGATTTTAGTACCTGATAACCCTTGCTTAGCAGCCACTGGTAGATGGTTCTGGGCCAAATGGAAGGTTAGATCACATTATCTTTTTTTTCCCTTCACAAATAATGATTTATTGGAGAGGAAGACTACGTTATCTATATCTGTATCATACTGAAATTTATAATTTTTTAAAGTTAAGTTGTAACTTTTGATCCTATAATCGATCCTAAAATGATGTGATCGATTTTGGAAGTTATAACTTTTAAAGATAAAGGTATAATTTTTAATAGTCAAGTTATATATTTAAAAAAGTGAAGTTATATTTGATTAGAAATATTCGTTATCGACCAGAAAAATCAATTAATTTATTTTTAAAAGATATGACTTGACTTAAAAAAGTAGTAACTTTTTATACGGTATCATTTTTTTATTTTTAGAAAATATTACTTAATCTAAGAAATAATAACTTTTGATTGAAAATTACCTTTATTTGAAAGCAAATCCAAAAACATAAACCTAAAACTAGAGGCAATCCTAAACACTAATTATTTGGGAATACACACTTCTTGTAGATTGTCACCACTACAAATACACTCTTAGTAATAAACTTTCACCATTAATAACCACTAATGCAACACTTTTCAACAACAATTATTCAAAGTCAATTGTGTTTTAAGCTTAACAATGAATGAATGAGTCCAAGTCCTACAAGGAAACGTATAAGGGGTTAAGTTCATATTTAAAATTATATGTAATGATTTAAGTTCACATTTTTTTTTTATCTCAAAAATACCATTCTTTGAAAGGAAATTAATCTTTTCTCTCTCATATTTGTCTATATTCATATATTGGTTAAGAATTTGACTAACATGAAATTTTTTTCTCTTATATATATATATATATATGGTAACATTAAAAATAAAAAATAGTAACATTCAAATACAAAAAAAATTACTATAAATTTGAATAGTAAAATTCAAATTCATGTTACTATTTTTTTTTTATTAAGTTACTGTTTTTGTTGAGTATGTTACTGTTCATGTTATTATTATTTTTGAGCATGTTATTACTATTATTTTTTAAAATATTAATATTCAATGTTACTATTTTTTTTAATATTACTATTTTTTGTATTTGAATGGTACTATTTTGCGTTTGAATTTGAGAGAAATAATTATTATTAAGTATGTTACAGTTTTTGTTAAACATGTTACTATTTTTGTTGAACATGTTAATATTTTTATTGAACATGTTAATGTTGTTATTTTTTAAAAATACTAATATTGAATGTTTTAATTTTTTTTATGTTTAAATGTTACTATTTTTTTGCGTTTAAATGAATTATTTTTTGTGCCCAAATGATAACTTTTTTTTTGTATTTGAATGTTACTATTTTTTATTTTTAATGTTACTATTTTAATGTTAGTCAATTTCTTAACCTATATATGGATATAGATAAATATGAGAGAGAAAAAGATTTTAATGTTAGTCAAACTCTTAAGATTTAGGAATTTTTAATTTTTAGTTTTATTTCACTTGTAAAGGGAAGAGATAATATGATAAAATTGACAAAAAATAGACATTATAACAAATAAATTTTCTTCATGAATTTAAATTCAAAAAGCCCATATAAGAAGACCGACATTCAAATTTCCCAAAATACCAGCCTGAATGATATGATCAAATTGGGCCGTGACCTAAATCAAGTGACAAGCAAATTCAGCCCACAAAATCATTCTAGCTTAGCCCGGCAAGAAGAGGCCTTCTTCTATTGTCTTCCAAGCTGAATAAATATGAGCAATGTTATTGAAATATAATTTATGACATAATTTGAAAATATAATGAGTGATATGATAATGAATTCATTTAATACTAAAATAAGATCCATCATTAAATACATTTTACTTTCATTTTATTAGTGACAACTCATTATGTCCCAATAGTATTAGTGAATAAATATAGTCCCTGGATTTATTTCAAAAAAAAAAAGTGGACTTAAATCATTACATATAATTTTAAATATGGACTTAACCTCTTATAAGTTTTCTTATAGGACTTATTTCCAAACAAATACATTCTTGTGCTCAACTAAGCTGTACCCCTCATTAGACAATGCTGCCTATTTAAACAGCCTTCTTAATAACCCTTTTCAACTCTTCCAAGCTTATAAACGCCACTTCATTACTTTTCCCTCCTCATCAGGCTCACACGTCCTTACTTTGTCTTCTCTCGTCTCATCTCAAAAAGGTAAGGGAAGGTGATAACAGAAGATTTATTAATATGGTTTCGCGAATGATAAATAAAAGGAGAACGATGATGATGAGAAGGATGTCTATGTACAACGACAATGATCTTCCTCTGTATGCACTACCAACCACTACTAACTGGTTAGTAGTTTTCTCTCAATTGTCCTTTGCATTTACCCTCTCTCTTTTCTTTTCCTTGTGTCCCTTCCCACCCCACCCAAAAAAAAAAAAACCCTTGAGCTTGTATGTTCAGTGTGAATGTCTTTCGTTTTGTTTTGTTTTGTTTTTTTGGTCATGAATGTGTTTTGTATTCGATGCATGGGGTTTGAAATTTCGTTATCCTTCAATTCTATTTTTCGTAAATCTTATGTAATTTCAATCTATTCATTTACACTTTTATTTTGTTTTGAAATCTGAAAGTGTAAAAATTTGAGGACTTAAAGTATCTTATTTAAGTCCTCGGAGAGACTTGGAAAAGTTTTTTCTTTGTAGTTTCTAATTTTCTAGAATTTTATATTATTTAATTAATTTTAAGAAATTTCTCAAATCATATTTTGACATGTAATACTTATAACTAACTATTGCTTTCCCTATTTAACTACCCACCACTTACTACTTTTAAGTTTTAAGTATAAGAATGAGAAAAAGAGAATAAATAAAAAAGAGTAACAAAAAAATAAAGAGTAATAAATTCCTTGTAAAATTTTGAGTTACCACTAGCTAGTTAAGTTCATATAATATTGTTATTAGTAATTTCCATATTAAATTTTGTTTTCGTTAAATTCTGCAATTGTTCAAATTTATGCTACACAGACTTGACTACGATACTCCATCTAATAGCTTTGGTGGAGATTGTGAAGCCTAGGAGCTTTACAGCTACTTCGATGAACAGTTTTCAGAGGACATTGAAGAGGTTAAGATTGACTTTCGAAGAGGTTTTTTGATCGTGTTTTTGTTTCTTGTGCTAACTTTGGAAAAGGGTTGAGAGTGACTCTCTCCATCTTTGTTTTGCTTGTTGCACAAGAGAGAGAGAGAGAGAGAGAAATAAGTATTGTGTAGAAAAGAGAGAGGTCGAAGAGGTTGTACAAGAGAGCGTGTTTCTGGTGCTGACCACAATGCACCCAAAACGTGTTTACTGTGCTGTCATAAAAAGCCTGATTAATAATTATATTTTTTAATTTAATTTAAAAGTATCATTATTGAAAAACAAATTTATTGATCATGCTTTTTTTCACGAAAAATGATTTGTTTGATTTGTTGACCCTGTATTTAAAAATTAGTTATTGTCTGTGTCTAAAGACACAAAATAATAAAAAATGATAAACAATAAACATATTTATATTCATATCCAAAATTAAATCACACACATAAGAGATAAACGAATTTAAACATCGATTTGTAGTGGAGGTGAGAGGTGGTGGGCGGTAGTTGTGGTGATAGGAGACGGTGATGGTTATGGTGGGTGGAAAGACCGTGGTGGTGGCGACGACGGCGATGTGGTCATGGTCATGGTGGCGGCGACAGTGGTTGTGGTAGTGGTGGCAGCGACGGTGGCGGTGGGGGCGGCGACGGTGGTAGGGGCAGCGGTGGTGGTGACGACGACGGTAGTAGCGGCGGTGACAGTGGTGGTGGTGGTGGTGGTGGTGGCGACGACGGCGATGTGGTCATGGTCATGGTGGCGGAGACGGTGGTTGTGGTAGTGGTGGCAGCGACGGTGGCGATGGGGGCGGCGACGATGGTGGGAGCAGCGGTGGTGGTGACAACGACGGTAGTAGCGGCGGTGACAGTGGTGGCAGTGGCGGCGGCGGTGGAGGTAGTGGTGAAGCGGTTTCAAACACTATTTTTTTTTAAATTACTTATGAGAATTTTTTTTTAAAAATACTTTTAAAAAGTCACTCTAAACTCGCCCTTAAATACCTATTTTTTCTATTAAATTTAGGGTATTAATATTAGCCGTTGTTTATCTTTTGAGATTTGAATTGTAAGCTACTTTATTATATAAATATCGTAATTTGTTAAATTATTTAAAAGTACAGAGTGGTGTAAGGTAAATCAATAAGTTAATTTGAAGAAGTGAAGAGGGAAGGTCCTAGAGAGAGGGGGGATTTTGAGAGAAATGTTAATGACCATTAGATAAATTTATTTAAAACCGTTGAATAAATTTATTGAAATTTATCATTGAATAAATTTATATTCTCTTTCAAAGATTCCTATCCCGATCTATAATAGAATAAGGTTAGTAGTAGTATCTTCAATGTTCAACATCATACATTTGGTTCCTTTGATACGCATTTTTTCTTTTCCTTGTGTGTTTCTTTAGAGCCTGTTCAGTGTCAAGATTCGTATTCGATGCACATGATTTGGAATTTCGTTGGCCATTCAATTTTGTTAAAGATATCGTATTTTGGTTTTGGTTTCGGTGTTTTTGATAGTCATGTAGGACTCTTTCTCTCTTTCATATTTCTTCTTTAAACTTTGTTATACTTGGTGATTGGTTTGAGTTTTAGATCGTCTTTTTTTTTACACATCTTTCAAATAGATTTTTTGGGTATTCTCTTTCTAGATGTCTAATAGAATAAGGTGCACATGGATCCTAAAATTATTTGCTTGATTGACAAAGATTACATTTTGAAAATATTCATATTAGCATTGTATGTTTCTATGTTTAAAGAGCCAAATTACCCTCCAACAAATCATGTAAATTTCCCTGTTTTTGCAAAAAAAAAAAATTCAGTAAAATATTTAAAAACATGTTGACAAGTCTTAACAGTACTATCCTAAGTGCCAAAAAACCAATATATGTATTTTTTTTCTTTAAATCTGTATGTATTATCCCCCTTTTTATTTTTTCAAACTTTCTCAAATTTTTTACAGAAAACTTTCACGTGCAATACGTCTAGTAGCTTAGTACCCATAAAACACATTCATGAGCCGAGACACATTTTCATTATAAGTTAGCTAACCATTTACTTTAAGTGTATAAACGACTTTTGAACGTGTTGAGTCAACTCATAAACAAACATAGGAAAACCATATAATTTAGGTGATGGGACAATTCAAATGAGTCCCCATTCCTTCTTTTACCAAATTTCTATTCTAAAACAATTTCATTTCATTTTTTTTGATAGTGGAAACGAGCAAAATGTCAAATCATCTCCATCAAGCATGGCAGTCTTCAAATATCTGGTGCCAGTACTTGTTGCCCTTGTTGCCATGAAGTATCAAGCGAAAAATGAGGATCCATTTGAAGCACGCCCAATAAACATGTGGTGCTTCTGTATAGCCATATGCATCTACTGTCTTGCAAAGGGAAGAAGAAATAAAATTCAAAGTAGTGTTGCAAACTACTCACCAATCATAGACCATGTTATTCTCCTCTTTGGAGCTCTTGCTTCGGTCTCACTAATATTGGTCCTCCTCCCACGCATCCCCGAGTTACTGGGTTTTGCTGTAATACCAGTTGTGCTAATAATAATAGCATGGAATAAACACAAGCGTGGATGTTGTTGGCTCTGTGATGGAATAGCCAATCTGGTTACCTTCATTCCCAATATTCGGAATTGGTCCACCCAAAGCAACGAGATAGCGCAGCCAAATCCATCTCCACAAGTGTAAATCCTCTCTAGCCGTTTAATGCTTGTGTTGTAACGGTAGCCTCATGTTGATAGGTATAGAGCTCCTCTTTTTCTTTTTTGCTTACCACTATTTCCTCCTATTTTGTACTTGCTTTAGAGCAAATTATCCTCGTCTTGTTTTTTACCAATGGTTTTATTTATCAAAAAATTATATTTATATAATAAAATACAACACAATTTAAATCTCAAAAAATAAACAAAATAATTTTTACTTTTCGCGGTTGAGATCTCTTTAAATTTTACTTTAAAATTAATTCGACAACTAATATTAACACTCCAAATTTAATAGAAAAAATAAGACCCTAATAGTGTGTTTGTAGTACTTATAACTTTTCATAAGTATTTTAAAAAAAATAGTGCTCAGAATCGTTCTACCAATACCTTTACCACCACCACCACCACCACCCCCCACCGCCCCACCACCATCAACATTACCACTATCGGCACCCCACCACCACAATTATCACTACCACCGTCACCGTCACTATCACCACCTACCACACACATCACCATTACCACCACCACTCCACCATCACCACCTCCACTGTTACCACCACCCCCACTATCCAACTACCATCACCACTACAACCACCACTACCACGGCCACGGCCACGGCCACCACCACCTTACCACCTCCATCGCCCCCCCTAACCACCACCACTGCTGTCACACCCTACCACCACCGCTTACGACCATCACCACTATTATCATCACCGCCACCCCCACTAGTACCGCCACTACCCCACCTCCACCCTAACCATTCCAACTGCCCCACCACTCCCCACCACCATTACCACCCACCACCGATTGCTTTCACCGTCGTCCACCACCACCGCCACCACCCACTACCATAGTCACTTTAATCTTATATATAGTACCATTACCACCATAATTCCACTACTGCCATCGCCCCATCGTTAGTATCCACCACCATCCGTCGTCGTCCACCATCGCCGCAAGCCACTATCACTCATTCCCACCACATTAACAATCACCACCCGTCATCACTCATCATTGTCGTCACCTACTGTCACTCATCCCCACCACATCTACCATCACCACCACCACCGTTATTCACCACCACCCATCATACTATTTTTTAGAAGTACTCGTTGTCGCTCATCACCACCCACCACCACAACCCACCATGCCACCACCGCCGTCGTTACCCCACCACCACCACTACCAATCACCATCATTGTCACCCACCACCACCAACACCCACCACTACCACTGCCGTTACCCATAGTTGCCATTACCACCATCGTAACCTAAAACCCACCACCACCATCACCGTTGCCACCCATCATAACCATCACTGTCTCCCACCACCATTATCACCCACCACTACTACCACCGTTCACCCTCATTACAATCGGTGATTAAATTCATTTCTCTCTCATTTATGTTTGTGATTTAATTTTGGATGTGAATACAAATATGTTTATTGTTGACTATTTTTTTATTACTCTGTGCCTTCAAGCACAAGTAATAACTAGTTTACAATATTGTTCAATATATCCAAAAATATCTCGGGATATACTCTCAAGAGAGTTAATCATGATTCAAGACAACTTAAAATGCGTTTGACATTGCTTTCAAATAGACTTTTGGGTCACAAAAGTGCCTTTTGAAAAACATTGGTCCGTTTTGTGGATGGAATTCCTCCAAAAGACTATCTCCTAAATGTCCATTTTAAAGATGGGATTTTCAGTCTTCGCTTTGGGATTTGTGTCTATATAAGTTCCAAAATAATGGGTCTCTTGCATTGATTTCTAAGTTTAATAAGTACTGAAACCAGGGGCGGAGCTACATGTATTGATGTGGGGGCAACTGCCCCCACTGACTTTTGAGGGGTTAACTATATAAATTGACATGACAACAAAGTTATGTTCAATTTATCTCATTGCCACTTTAAAATTTTTGAAAATTTAAATAGTGGCCCTAGTCTTTTTTGTCTTTAATAAGTTAGTGGTTCACTTGTTCTCCTAATCTACTAAAACAAGTATTTTTTTATTAAAAATAAGTAGTAAAAAGGATGTGTGATTCTTTAACTCATTATATATATTATCCAAATACAATATCTCTCTTATTTAATACAATTTCTCATATTTCTTTAATATTATTATATAATAACATGTGCATAGATGCAAATGATAAGTTATGCACATATATGCCCCTTCAAAAATATCAATTTCTCAACAAGATTTAAAAATTACTTACAAATTTATCATAAAATTGATTAATTATAGACATTCTTGAGATTTAAAACAACATAACCCTTCTAAAAATATTAATTTATGAACAAGGTTAAAAGGAAATTGCTTAGAAATTTACCATAGAATTTGTTAGTTATAGATGATTTTTGAGATTTAAAACAATGTCATTGTGTTTCTCTTTAATATATGATTGAGTTGAAATTAGTCACTAAAAAAATTATTGTTCTTGTTTGTTCATATTTTGTTAAATGCTGAATTGATTTATTTTTATATAAATTATGTTAATATGTTGCTCATAGTTGAACTTAAAAAAAAACTTTTGCAAAATTTTTTAATCCTTATTATTAGAGGTGGAGGAGAATTTTTTATACCAATTGATTAATCTTTTTTGTTTATATTTTTGCCCCCAATAGAACATAATCCTGAGTCCGCCTTTGACTAAAACCATGCTAGTAGTGGTGTATGAACTCATTTTATGTGTAAATTGACCCGTGCTTTGTGAATTGGTTTATGCTTGTGTTTTTGAATGACGAGTCTTAGTGGGTTACTTCTTTATAGCTTCAGGTGTTGAGCTGGAATATTTTTTTAATTGGTATTCATCTGGACCTTATTTGGTAGTATGTTCTGCATATATTTTGGTGAGACTCCCACTATATGTTATACAAATATAATCTTCCTGGATATAAATTGGTGGAAGATTGGCGTTTTAACTTTATTGTGTGTTTAAAATCGCAATGGATCATTTGATTGGAGAATTGGTATATATAAGGGCTTGTAATGGTGGGACTCTAACTTTTCTTTGAAAATCAAAGGATTGTTTTTCTTTATGAAAGGTTGGACTGTAGACAATCTGAATCTTGATAGGCTGTAATAATTTGACTCTTGTGTACTTATATTTGTGTGCGTGCTATTTTTAGCACAATAGTTGAAACAGGAACAAATTTCTCTCGTGATGAA